TTTAAAAAGATGTGTGCGGATGATAATAATGGGAATTAAATTAATTTTTTGCCATTAAAATCAAATTTATAAAAGATCGAATTGATTAAAAGAAAATGGATGTTGAAAATCAAATTCGGAAGAATCAAAAATATATTTGAGCTTGAAACAGAAGTTGGAAAACGAACCACGTACGATGTTTTCCCCTGTCTCCTTTATAATCAGTATAATTAATGTATACACCTTTGTAGAATTTGTCAGCCGCTCCGGAACTTGATGACAAATTGGTTGACTTTTCCAAGCTGAATGGAATAATATTTATCTACAAATACATAAATTTGAATGAGTTCCATTTATTTAATTTGATTATATATATTTGTCTGATATATTTAATTTATCAAATATATATTATATATATTTGATTATATATATTAGTCTAACGCTTATGCTTAATTCAATCCATGAGTAGCAAAATGCACTTGTTCATCGATTGAGGAGAATCCGTTAATTATGACTTTGTTGCTTAATTTTATCTCCAATTGTGTGGATGCAAAATAATGTTATATTTGGATCGCAAGAGGTTCATGTGAAAGGTTTAAGTAAAAATCGTATATTGTTTTTCAATCACGGTTAGAAAATTTAGCCAATTTTGTTTTTCTCTTAATGTTTCATCGAGTTTTTCACTTATTTCTTTTAATATTTTTCATCTTTTTTCTTTTTATCTATTAATTAACATAAAAAAATTTGTAAATTTTCTAAAAATTTAAATTATAAATTACAGTTAACTTTCTACCGATTAAAATAAATTTAAATCAAATTAAAGACTCAAATCAAAAGAAAATAAACTTATTTATTATTATTTGTTTCTATCATAACAAGATAGACTTTGTTTAGACTAAGAATAGATCAATTATTAAATTATAGGTGAAAGTTTAATAAGATAAATGCTTCAAATTATATCGATTAAAAGATTAAAGTAATTATGACATTTATCAATTTTTAAGCATCTTCTTTATACATGTTCAAATTATCTCAATGGATTTTCTATCACTCTTCTCTCAATCAATGCTACGCTAATATCTCTTTTTTTTTTTTACAATATTTAAATTAAAAAATAGTTAACGCATAGGTTAAAATAATAGTTTTTCCAAAAAAAAAAAAAAAACTTATTTAACCTGCGTATGTGCTAATTTTTTTAACTTATAGTAAAAATTTATATATTTTCTTTTCTTTTTCCAATACACAAACATAATTTAAATATTTATTTCTACAAATATAATTTAAAAATAATAATACATTTTAATACTTAAAAATAATGTTTTAAAATCAAATGATAAATTTAGTTCTATAAACCATTATTTTACAATAAGTTTTTTTTTTTAACATGGGGAAGTTTTGCAAGGGCAATTGTGAATAGCACTAATTGGACAATGGTTTTTAAGTTTGGTTTAAGTGGATCAGAGTTGGCCCATTAGGTCTTGACGGGCTTCCCCACTCTATAACTTGAACCAACTAGTTGCTGTTTTGCTTTTATTAATGCAACTAGTTTTACGAATGAAATTACTAGGGGATTTGATTTTGATATATATATATAGTTTGTAGTAAAACTTTATATCATGGTATAAATAAAGTAACTAGACTTTGAAAATAATTATTTAAAAAGAAGTTCTTTTTATCATATGATGATTAAATGTAAAATATATTTTTTACACTAATTAAAATTAAACCTACGGTTTTGACAATCCCCACCAAAAAAAAAAAATTGTTAAAAGGGAAAAAGTTTTATTTTATTTTTAAAGTGCAGGGTGCCTACTAGACAGAGTTTTGGTTGAAGAGAGTCACGTGATAAGAACTCTAATCATCTTTAGTAGTCTAAATCATGTTCACCAAAGGGTCCAGCTGTTTCTATCTAGTTTTCAAGAAATTGACAGATCAATGGAAACTTTTTAGGTTTTACAGATGGAAACACACTTAAACATCAAATTTTGCTTCTCTATGTAAGTCGCAACCTCTACAAACAAATGATTAGGTAGCCATGTGGCACATCATATGTTTTTGCTAATTAATGAAGCTAGTGCATGACTAAGAGTAAATGACAAATTTAATTAACGAATTCAATTTCAATAATTTATCTACTATTTTTTTATATATAATTTTACGGATTTACGATCTCCCTCAATTTAATGAATGAAACGGAGAGTTAATTTACTCGATAACTATAACTTTTTCCCTTTAAATCTATCTTCATTTTATAAAATCAAAGTAAATTTTATGCCATTTTTTGCTGCATGAATGTCTCTAAAAGATGACCTTATTCACATAATAATATCTTCATTGTTAAGCTGAGTTCTGTTAGATTCCAGTCATGGCTAACAAGTATTTGAAAAATAGAACAGTTTTTTGACCTTTCGCTAACTATCAAGACTAGTTAATATACATGCTGCAATTATTTTCAAAGATTAGTTAATATATCACTTTCTCCGACAAAACATACATGCATATAATATGGCTATATGCTAAACTTTTGATGAGGATGGAGTAAAGTATGAAATAAAGAATTGATCTAAATTTTGAAGCATATTAAAATAAAATTAATTAACTTTCGACCGACAGTGAAAAACTAATTCCTTCTGAAATGAAAAAGATTAACAAAGAGGATATAATCTCTTTCAGTAAAATCTTTTTCATAAATTGTTCTAGATACATCAACTTTCATGTGTTGGAAACACTGTGCTCAAAATTGGCAGAGCAATTATGGACCTTAAACCTTATCAAATCCAAATTTTGCCAACGCAGCAAGGGCTTCTGGGACATTAAATATAAATATTATTCCACATATTTATATTGCTTAGTTTTGGAATTTTTTTCGCAACAACACAGAAGCTCCAGAAGAATATGATTTATGACCTTAAATACTTGTCAGTTACGTGCAAGTAAAAAAGACTTTACTAACTATTAAGAAAATATGCCCTATATTTTGAACCTGTGGCGGTGGAACTTGTACTCCATGTTGCTGAAAGAAACTCGATATTTTTTTAACCTGGATTTTGCTCTAATAAAAAACAGCAGAGAGTTTATATATATAGATTAAAAGTTATTATTAAATTTTAATAATTTTATAATTTATATATAGTATTATAATCTTAGTTGTTAATTTATAATTAATAATTATAATTTTACACTATGTTTATAATCAAATTAATTTATATTTTACTTAAAACTTAAATAGTTTAAAAATTCATATGCATCATTAGTGTGAAAAAAAAAATTAAATAATCAATTACAAATCACTACGATGGTAGTTCTAAAAATCAAACTTAACATATATTATTTGTGATTGATTGAAAATATAAAAACTCTTTACACTGTTATTTATACTATTTTCTCAACTTAAATTTAGAGTTAATTTAATTTATTTAAAGATAAAATATTTTTGTTGGGAAGATATGAAATACAAGTTAATTATTATAACTTTGTGTACATATTGAAACTCATTTTAATCCAAAATAAATTTGAGTTGATGGAATTTTCTTTTGTTAAAATTTACTTTATCATTTTTTATAGTAAAGGGAAGATTGCTCTATCGATATGTCAAATATTCAGAGTAAAACTGATCTCTAATCAAGGTTTTGGGCTTATTATTTCCACTCCAAAGTGATGAGATGAAAATTTTCCGGTAGGAAGAGTACCTCACTATTATTAAATAATCTGTAATATATAATTGAATACTTATTAATTTTTTTCCATAAATTGAAAATTTTAAATACATCTCATATAGTAATACAGATAGCTCTAGACTACTAATAATTTCTCTTTGTTTGGACTGAATACAGGTAGAGAGGAGAGGAGAGGATCGATCGAAGCTGTCCCCGTTTTCATCAGCTTCTCGTGATAGCTTTTAGGGTACGTATATCCGTTTATGAAAGATGTGAAGTACTAATGAAGGTACATTCTTTAATGAGTTAATCACCTATATATTATCAATATAAAATTTTTTTACTCAAGCAATCAATTATATCTCTTAATTATATCATATCACTGTTAAAAATAAATATATTTACAGTGATATGATATAATTAAGAGATATAATTAATTGTTAGTATAAAAAAAAATTTATACTATTAATATATAGATGATTAATTCTTCTTTAATTTAACCCATACAATAGCTTTAACATAAAATTGGCTAATATGGCTCAGGAGTACGTATATTCTTCTTGCATAGATTCCTAAAATATACACAAAATCCATAAAGTTAATTTCTACCTACTACCTAGATGGAAAAAAATTCCACCTTAAAAATCAGTAAATACTTTCTCTGCCAATAGTATATATTCTTTTCATGTATTTGCAACCACAGACTTGTTATAACAGGTACAAGTGCTCAATTATCCGTTCCGTTGCTTTGATTCATGTAAGTCTTTGTTATAAATACAATTATGACAACTTGTGCGACCTATTTTACAAGACCCATTTATATAAGTTTTTTATTCGGCTTCATTAACCATTAACTCATCATCATCATCATTCTACTTTTTACTATTCAACTAGTCACGTTAAAAAGTACGTAGAGAGAAAAAAAAAAAAAAACACACACTTTTTAAAGTTAATGAGGTTGTACATTGGCAGCATATATTCACCTTAATTTTCATTATCTATACGATACAGATTCATCTTTGATATTTGCGTATCATTTTAGATAAGCTATTTATAGTACACTGTCGTCATTATTTGAATTTCTGCACAGAAAACTTGGAACGCGTATGAGTTTTACTTTTGAACAATAATTAATTCCTTATTAGTGGAACATAGTTCCTCCGAGAGTCAATTACACCTAAATCGGTGGAAAACCCATTCCGGGTACTTAATCCGTATCAGAATCACAAATTATACCTACCACACACCGAGATTTGACTTTAGCATTATAATATTACGTATATAATAATAAAATAAGAAAAGATTGATGAGCTTAACAGAAAAGGTTCTGATGCCTGTTACTATAAATACTTTCTCGTAGTTATCACTTTTCTTCACCACAAGCTGAAACATGAGTTCAGTAAAGTCACTCGTGTTACTCCTGCTTGGAGTGGTAGTTCTAACCACTCCAGTTCTTGCTAATTTCAACTTCAAACCACCCATTTATGAGCCTCCCCCAATTGAGAAACCACCAATATATGAACCTCCACCCACCTATGAGCCTCCACCAACTGAGAAACCTCCTCCATTATATAAGCCCCCATTCTACCCTCCACCAGTGTATCAACCCCCGTTTGAAAAACCACCCCCAGAGTATCATCCACCTCATGAAAAACCACCACCAGAATACCAGCCACCACATGAAAAATCACCACCAGAATACCAGCCACCTCATGAGAAGCCACCACCAGAGTACCAGCCTCCTCATGAGAAGCCTCCACCAGAGTACCAGCCTCCTCATGAGAAGCCTCCACCAGAATACCGACCACCACATGAGAAACCACCTCATGAGAAGCCACCACCAGAATACCAACCTCCTCATGAGAAACCACCACACGAGAAACCACCTCATGAGAAACCCCCACATGAAAAACCACCTCATGAGAAACCACCACCAGAATACCAACCTCCTCATGAGAAGCCACCACCAGAATATCAACCTCCACATGAGAAACCACCACCAGAATATCAACCTCCACATGAGAAACCACCACCAGAATATCAACCTCCACATGAGAAACCACCACCAGAATATCAACCTCCACATGAGAAACCACCACCAGAATATCAACCTCCACATGAGAAACCACCACCAGAATATCAACCTCCACATGAGAAACCACCACCAGAATATCAACCTCCACATGAGAAACCACCACCAGAATATCAACCTCCACATGAGAAACCACCACCAGAATATCAACCTCCACATGAGAAACCACCACCAGAATATCAACCTCCACATGAGAAACCACCACCAGAATATCAACCTCCACATGAGAAACCACCACCAGAATATCAACCTCCACATGAGAAACCACCACCAGAATATCAACCTCCACATGAGAAACCACCACCAGAATATCAACCTCCACATGAGAAACCACCACCAGAATATCAACCTCCACATGAGAAACCACCACCAGAATATCAACCTCCATATGAGAAGCCACCACCTTATGAGAAACCACCACCAGTGTATCAACCTCCTTATGAAAATCCACCACCAGTGTACCACCCTCCTCATGAGAAGCCACCCTTTTACAAACCTCCTTTTGAGAAACCTCCGATTTACGAGCCACCTCCTTTGGTGAAGCCACCATTTTACAAACCTCCGTTTGAGAAACCTCCGATTTACGAGCCACCTCCTTTGGTGAAGCCACCATTTTACAAGCCTCCTTTTGAGAAACCACCAATTTACGAGCCACCACCATTGGAGAAGCCACCGGGGTACAATCCCCCACCGTATGGTCACTATCCACCATCCAAGAAAACCTAAAAGCCAACGGCGAGCTGACATGCTTTAGTCTACTCAAAGTTAGAGCACTTGTTTGTCATATAAAGTTTTTTGTTTGCGTTTAGGAAGCACTTTTAAGATGTGAAGTACAATCTGCTACTTCTGCATGCAGTGTATAGTTCTTAAAAATAAAGGCTTTATGCCTCTGTGTAATAACTTCTATTTCCCAGCTTTCAGCAACGGTATTGTAATGTCCATTATTAGTGGGTTAATCTATGGCTACAATAAGATTTTCTTTCTGCTTAAATCTTCTCTCTTTAATTACTCGTTAAATAAAAATAAAAATTAAACATAGTTCTGTCTCTACTTATTATTTCTATCAACTTCATAATTAATTAACGTGTGAATAATGACCATGCAATGTGTAAAGTTGCTTGATCTACACTGAACTGAACTTAATTTTAATTTCTTAAATAAGTTATTGAATTCGAAAATTTTGAAGAAAAAGAACATGATTAAAAAAAATAACTCCATTAAAAATGTTCATTCAGGTTTGGGTCTCCATAATGGTCAATGAAAATACCTTTGTGTACTCAAATTGCATGGGTAACAGAAAACTTAATGCTCAGTACTTATATAGTTATTTAATACAAAGCTATAATATGTTAGTTGTTGATTGATTGGTCTGCTCTACACAAATATTTATATATCCGTCAACAGTGATATGGGTGGGTCATGCAAATCTATGTTTGACATCGTGTAGTATACCAACAGAGATATGTGTTATGAGTATTCTTGACATGACACAATCAAATTAAGACTGATTTGCTAGCATAAAAGTTTCCACCCAAGAATTAATATCTGGACTAATTTTGATGAGAGGCTGAATTTTCAAAGATGGCCTTAATTGGAAGCATCGATCGATCTTGCTGTAAGAGAATTCATACAAATAAATATATAAAAATTACCGTACCGATGGTAGAAGCCGATATTGCTCAAGAATGTCATTTGATCTAATTCCCGTGACCCAGGTGGTGAGTGGCATTTACATCCTCTGCAAGAAAATGTAAAACAATATGCTTGTAATATAAGTCATGTGAGGAATGTACTTATGTTTATTAATTGTTCTATTACTTCTTCAGATTGGTAGTATAATAACCCTAGGATTTGTTTCTGTTATACTCTTAAAGGTTTGCAGAATGCATATGGTATGTCAATCCCTCTGGTTGTACGTATTTCTCAGTCTATATTTAGATCGAACTTTATCTGTTTTTGTTTACGAGTATCTCTTATATACTCTAAGTAATAAAACAGTCCAAGAATGATTCATTCCGTTTTCTGATTAAACATCAGAAATTCTGGTATTTCCAACCCTGTTTCATGACATTGAAAAAAATGAGAACAAATGTAGGATCGAGAAACAAATGATAAAATACATGTTCATCTATTTACAACTTGTTCTTACCAAACCCATTTATTAAACAAAAACAGATATTCGCGCCATTATTGGATCGGCTTTTGTGACAAATACTAGGGATTGGACAAATTACACCTACTACCTTCTCCCAGATTTGTCTCTGATTGTATTCGATATATTATATTAAGTGGTCTGGTAACTTTTCATGATTTCACCGACAAGGTACTACTATAAATGCATGCCCATGTGTGATTTCAACCTCCTGACAAGCCAAGTGGAAGGATCGAGGTGTTTTTCATATATATATATATATATTTTCTTTTTTATCTCTCTATGAGGAGGGATGAAATTATTTTTCAGAGTAATTTTGAATAAAATTATTTCACCTAATAACTTATAGTGCATGATGGATTTTAATATTTAAATTATTAAATTAAAAAATTTTAATATATAGATTAAATTTATAATTTATAAAAAAACTGAAAACTTTATAATATTTTGTTCTATAAATTCAAATCAATATTTAATATATTTTTATAATTATTTATTAATTTTAATTAATGAAATAAAATATCAAATAATTTTTAAATTTTTTATAAATTTATAAATTTAATTTATACTTTAAAAACTTTTAAATTATATGTTAAAAGCCGAAAAAATTAAGACGTTACAAATTAGTTAATTGAATTAATTGAAAGTAATAGATAAAAAAAAATAACATAAAATAATTTTTATAATGAGAGTAAGACAATGATAAAGTAGGAAAATTCTAAATTTAAAATAAAAAAATTAAGTAAATTAATAAAGATAATAAAGAAGAAGAAAAAAAGTTAAGAGTTTATAAGTTATATAATATTTTAGTTAATTTATGAAAATAATTTATAAATTCTTAAAATAAATTTTAGTACTATATAAATTTATTTTAATCAAATTAACATATAAAATAATACTTATAAAATAATCAGAGAAATTCATAGACTCTTCAAATATATTTTCCAACGCACTCTTAAAATTAAGGCTAAATCATTACATGCTAAAATACTACTATTTTGTAACAAAAATAAAAAGGTTCATCAAAGTAGGCAATATTGGCCTTCAATACCTATACATGAATTAAATTAGTATTTTAACCTGGATAATATATAAAATAAATATTTATTTTTGTAACTATAATTTATAATAAATATATACTATTGAGTACGTAATTTTTTATAATTAAATTTCATCATAAATATTATTTTAAATATATAAATTATATTTTAGATTTATAATAAATAATTTATTTTGTAATACAAGGGTTTTTAATTATTAATAATTTTCCTAAAAATATTAAAATTCAATATAAAAAATAAAAAATATATATGAGAGATTGAAAATTTTTCTAAAAATATTTTCTTTGCAAAAATCAACTAAAACAACTTTTGTCAAAGAATATGTATCTAAGTGCACTCTCATACAATATAGTTATTGCAATTTTTATATAGAGAGGACTAATAAATAACATATATTATTGTTATTATACTTAAAATAATCATTTGAAATATTTTATTATATAGTTATTTTATATTTAAAAAAAGATAAGTTAATCTAGACAATGTGAACATTAACTCTTTTTTTTTTTTTACAGTGTTCATCAACTTTTATCTCTCTTAATGTAATTTACATTTATTCTTTACATATTAATAATAATCCATTTTGAATGGTTAGTTACATATTTTTAATTTATGGCTTCTTTTAATAATATTAATTTTTGTGTATTAAAATTATTATAATGCGTCTAGGATTTTATTTTGAAAATGTAAAATGGACCAGGGATAAGTTACCTGTTGTCTTTGGTTGATGAATGATGATATATACACCTCCTTTTTCCTATAAGTATATTTCTTTTTCAAAAAAATAATTAAAATTTTAAAATATTCTTAATTTTTTGTTTTTTTTTTAATTTTACATTCACAATATTTAATTTAGTATTTTTTTTTACAGATCTTTCTTTTTTCTTTCTTTTTTTTCTTTTTTCAATTTTTACATACACCCCGTTATCTTTCCTTCACCTCACCTATTTTGGTAGCATGTAAAAATTGAAAAAAAAAAAGAGAAGGTGTACTTATAAAAAAAAAAAACAGGAGGTGTATATATCATGAGCCTTCCGAAAAGAACTTTCCGTCAGAATAATTACGGAAAGTACTTTCCGGAATACTAAAATTATTATTCTAGAAATAACTTTCTGTCAAAATAATTATGGAAAATATTTTTCGTAACATTAGAATTACTATTGCAAAAAATTCTTTCCGGAATATTAACAGTGTGTGTATTTGTTACCATAATTCCGGAAAGAACTTTCCGCAATAGTAATTTTAGTGTTACGGAAAGTACTTTCCAGTATTATTCCAACGGAAAGTTATTTCCGAAATACTAATTTTAGTATTCCGAAAAGTACTTTCCAAAATTATTCCGGCGGAAAGTTCTTTCCGGAATAGTAATTTTAGTATTCCAAAATACTAAAATTACTATTCCGGAAAGAACTTTCCATAATTATGTATAAATACACCTCCGGAAAAAACTTTCGAAGATAATTTTTTTTTTATTCCAAAGAATATTAAGGATAATTTAGGAATTTAATATTTTTTTTTAGAAGGGGGTGTATGTATAAAAAAATGGAGGTGTATATATCATCAGCCGTTGGTATTCGGGTAAAAGCCCAAAGAGCAAGAGATTGGCCCAATCCATCAGTTCAGGATGAAGCGGTTTCCAAGGAAACAGCAACTGAACCCAGGAAGGATTTTTAAAAGATGCTTTCACCATTTTTCTTAAAAGCTTATTTTACAATAATGTTTATAAAATAAAAAAGTTTACTTTGTCTGTATAGATCAATAACTTTTCTTGGGAAACAAAGCTGAGGATAATGAAGTAGGTGTGGTGGTTTCTTCTTGCTATCATCCATGTAAGTGTAATATTTGTAGCTTTGCAATTGTCAATTATTCAAAGGAAGGCCCATTCGATATGTAATAAATTGATTTATCAAAAATAAATCACAAAATGTGCCTCCTTTTTCTTTCTATCTACTGTTAACATGTTTTGATGAAAATATTTGTTTTTGCCTAAGTCATGAATAGGAATGAAACTACAAACTAACTAGGTAGGTGTTGCTTCTGTTTCTCACATAATCGTAAAACATTTTAACTTTGGTCCATGGTCAAGGGTCACGGCCTTCGGTGCTCAATCGTTATATATGTTAAGTGTTGACCAAGAACACCTAAATTTACATATAATCAACTAAGGAATAGATTAAAATCGTATAATTTTAAAATTTGACAGACTAAAATTATGTAATTAAAAGAAATCAAAATTGTGAATGAAAATATTATAAGAAACAAAAAATATAATCCTTAATTTATAAAATTATACAATATTTTTAAGTGCTTATATAACAATGTATTTAAATGCTTTAAAATTATATAAGTATTTTTTAATGTAACTTATTAAATTTTAAGCATTTACTGATGCAATAAGAACCTTCTAAGTAAGATCCTAAAGCGTACTTATTTCTATAAAAATGACAACAAAATGCTTGAGCACATTTTGCTCAACTACTACGTGATATCATGGTGTATTCGTGTTTTGTTTTCTTGCAAATATCTTAAGGAAATAAAACTTCAAAAAAATGACAAAATGCCGATTGATTTGCCGGATTTTCTCGTTTGACCCAAAAGCTTAACAGTAAATTGATTCGACCCAATTTGATCTTTAGATATATTATCAATCCAAAAGTTTGGTTGGGATTGGGACCAAGTAGGCCATGTAATCATGATTCCTGAAACAAGTCAAATGCGAACGCCATCTTACCTTTAAACAGTTTACATATGATTATGAATCTAATTTTTAGGCATGAT